CCAAATTTAAATTTGGCGTATTGTAGCATTTCTTGAAATTGGTTGATCGATTGTCCGAGATCGGGCTCTGAATTTATTAGAGATTCTATGATCCTAACAAATTGTCGTTGTGCATCTAATCCCGTGCCTGGGGGCTAAAACGCTGGTCTTTGTCTGAGCTTGGGCACCCAATAATGCGTAGACATAAACTGGAATCGATTCGTTTACCTTTGTAATTCCAACGTCTGTCATCTTTGTCCCTGTGCGGAATAAAGTCTTGCGATGCAGATTTTACTTTATCGTCCTGTGAGATCCAGTCAATTTTATATTTAATCGTTACGCCCAAACCGATGGGTTGTCAATAGAGGTCCATTACTTTGCCTTCGCGACCATATTCATTATAAGTCTTTTTTGGTCGTAGTTTTTCCCCGGAACGGGCAACCATTTTTTACACTGGTATCAGCAAAACTTGCAATGTGGTAATAATAAGCGGTGCCGAGGCCATTTGTATAAGGATTGCGGGTTTGTCTGAACGACCTCTTTGGATCCACATTAAAGTCGAGGCAAGTGGCATGAAACGCATTGTTATCGGAATAATTATTACAAGGATCAAATATATTGGCGATAGGTAATGGAAACTTATACTCGGCAAAGATCTTTCTTACCGTATAATACACGTGGAAATTCATTAAAGTAGACACGTATTGACTGGAATTGACAATCCGTCCAAAATCTATTCCACATGCAGTCATTGCACAATACACTGCAAAATTGACCTGATTTTGATAAATGACATCAGGTCTGCATTCCTATGATCTACCACTTCTTGCTGGGTGACCTTTGGCATTTTATAAGCATTTGTAATGTCAGCAAATTTGGCCCAAAATGAATTACCTTTGTTTACTAATATGAACAGGTTACTAAAATTGATTCCCATCTTTACAATAAAGGGGTTTTATTTGTTGCGCTGTGCTTTAAAAGGAGGGGCCCCTGGTTGCACTTTTACTTCTTGATAAGCAGGCGTTTTATCTTCGGGCTGTTCTTGGTAACAGACCGACTTTGTAAAACTCACTCGCCAAGTTTTTTGATGAGATTTTTTTTTTAAATGGCCGCTTGTTCGTTGGCTAGAGTTTCTGCTCTCTCGTTTACTTGACATTCAAATTCTTTTTTGCTTGTCGATTAACTTTCTTGCAGTTTAGTGCTTGTGTTTGATCTGATCTTTTCTTTCATTTCATTAAACTTTTTCAGCTTGGATAAAATTAGTACAAATTTTTCTTGCGAAATGTCACCGACTTCAATCGCGTGCGAGACGTATTCCTCGATAGTGTTTAATTTAGCATCTACCAGCATGCAGATTTGGTCGTGTTTTTTGGTTTTAGGGACCAGTCGCCGACTGGTGTATTTTAACATTGCGTAAGCCCCGAATGCTCCAATCGCGAGACCTTCCATTACTAATCCTAAGGGGCCGGTAATGACTCCTAAAATAGCGGGAATTCCTATAGAATAGATGCCAAAGTTACGCCTATCGCTTCTACGCCGTATTCCACGTAATTGAGTGCAGTGAGTTCTGTTTCATCTTTTTGTAGCTAGTTTCGCGCGCGTCACGTTCTCTTTGGATGTGAGATTTGACTTCTTCGATCTTTCTGAGCCTGTAGACTTTAGTTTCTGCTTGTACGACCGAGTTTAAACTTAAATCTGGTTGTTTAGCTGAATGTGGGTATTTTGACAAATCTGGATATACGTTAGTCGTCATCTTTTTATTATATATGCATTTTTAAAAAATGTATATAAACAATTTTTAAAATATTTCTAACTCAAGTAAACCCTGTCACCTTTATCACTTAACAATTGGCCTTTAATGTTTTTTAAAGAGAGAGTTAATTCGTCAATCTATCAATTTTTTGGGTGTTTTATCTGTACTAACCAAATCGCGAGAATTCGCATCTACAACGCCAAATAAGTCTGAGGATTGCCTGTTATAAAAATTGGTGTTCGGTGTTTAACTGCTTACAATGGATAAATAGATATTTAACGGGATCTAAATCATGATCACCTTTATAAATGGTCATGTGTGTAAGGTCGTTTCTGGGTAGGTTCAACAAATTTCCCACTTCTTTGTTTAAAATCAAATCAAGCCTGGGGTCTAAAACGGCTAAAGTCACCAAGTTAGACTCTGCATGAAGTTTAAAACTTACACCAGGAATTGCGTTTAAAATAACATCAAACCATCACATTTCCTCTGAAATTAAGACTTTTAGGATAGTCCATAAACCACCAATAATTATCATACTCAGGACCATGGCCATCAGGGATCCAAACTTATTTTCTTTTAATTGCGGTCGTAATGAAACGCTATTAAAATCCAATCTGTCAAAAAATGCTTTAAAAGCCTCTAATAATCCCGTCAATTTAGATACTATTGAGTGAAATATACCCCTTCTTCCTTGCAAAACACTTTGGAAATCGTTTATCTGTGAATCAATTCCATAAAAAAATCTCTCCAATTTTATTTTCTGCAGCAAGAAAATTCTGAATGTTTATTGGACAAGTTTCTAAAAATTCGCTTGTGGTGTCCACCGTTTCTTCTAAATTTATGTAGTCATCAAAATTAACATACGAACAAAAACCACCAAAAACCTGATCTGCCGTAAGATATTCATTAAAGCACTGCTCTAAAATGCCGAGTATCTCAAGTGCATGGGCTTTTTGAATATTATGGCTTCGAACAGCATGTTCCCATATAGCTAAATATTCATACGGTTTTTCTAAAAATCATTCATGGTAGCTATTTCAGAAACAAAGATACTAAATAACCGACTGGTTTCAAAACTTATTCCACCAGCAACTTTATCTGTTAAAAACATATTTTTATAATATTTCACTAATTCTGTGTTTTTTTATTCCTTCTATACCTAAAGTCATAGGCGTTCTTTCTTGCCACTCAATTCCCGTAGTTTTGGTAATATTAAAATACTTGGTTTCCAATTGCATATTTTTGACTCGAATAGATGTGTTACTTTTTTCGTTATGAATGATATTTTGAGTCTAAACCTCTGTGGATTTTTGGTCAAGTGAAAAGTGTGAGTCTTCATTTTATTATAAACATTTTAAATATAAACAGGTTTTTCAAAGTTTTGTTGAGCAAGTTTAAATTTATCGAGGGCGTTGGCCAAGTGCTTATCCAATACTTGAAATAAGTCTTTAATGGTTGATTCAGCTTCCCCGGTTACATTTTGGTATAAGACGGCAATTAAGGCCTTCAGCGGTTTGCCTCTAGAGATCTTGCCTGCTAAAACTCAGTTTAATTTATATTCTATGGCACCTGCTTGATCATGCGTCAATTGAACGTTTAATTCTTTTAAAATTTTACTCGACTTTCGCTTTGGTTTTTTACAAACAAAATGCTGGTTATGTTTACCGCCTACATTTTTCACTTAGTCTGAATAAATCTGAGCTATTATTAGTCCGCAATCCCAGCATGCAAGTTTAAATTCTCTTGTTATTATGTTGTCATATGGGCAAGTGGGTTCTTCTGATGACTGCTGTGGCCAAGTAACTTTTATTCCAGTTAGGTGGTAAATTTCTTGATCTGTCATTGTTTTTATTAATAGTCTATTTATTTAAGGTGGTTAAATAAGGGGTTTCTAATCATGCTTTGTAATTGTTGGCATCTAAAATTTCTACTTTCTTCCTCAAGGGCCAACGCATATTCAAGATAACCTGGAGGTAGGCTGGCGTGCGAGCTAGATCGAAAAACTATTTCTTCAGTTTAAGGTTCTTCGGTTTCAGGTTCTTCGGTTTCAGGTTCTTCGGTTTCAGGTTCATAGTCTTCTTCAGATTCTTCGTCTTCAGGTTCTTCGTTTTAATATACTTCTTCTGTTTCGTCAATCATTAGGCCTATTTTTCTCAACTCATTTTCTATTTCGGGTACGGGGTCATTATGTGGAATTAATTTCAGTCTTTTTATAATCGTCATTTATACATTTTAAGAACTCATTATGTCTCAAGTCCGTGCAATTGATGCAATAAGTGCAACAACAAACCAATGCCAATTTTTCACAAAATTCACAGTCCCAACAACTTTCGCATTTCTGGCAAGATTCACATTAAAAACAATTGGCACATCCAGCGCAATGTGTACAATGCTTGCAGTCCTGACACGAATGGATACAGCGACAATTTGAACAGTTGTAAGAATCGCTGCCATCTATTACGTTAACAGACGTTTTTGCAAAAGTGACAATTGACGTTGTTTGTTTTTTTCTCGCTTGTTTTTTTCATCTCTAATTTTATATAAGGTTTTAAAAAAAATCTCATTTTTCTCAAAGCTTCAGTGCAGAGAGAATTTTTCCGGGGAAGCAGGAGTCACGAGTTCAGGCCAGGCAAGTCGAGACTTGTAGCAGGTGGGAAAAAGAGGGGATTTCCCTTTTCTTTGTTTGAGAGTCACGAGTTGTTTACACCGGAGTAAAAGGCCGAGGTTGTTTGAGCGCGAGCGGTTTGGGTCTGTGCAAGTGGTGGGAGCGCCGGGGTCAAAGGTCAAGGTGGGTGAAATGGGGAAGCCCCGGCGCTGTGGGCGGTGGAGCGTGGAAGCAGAGTGGAAACGGGGGCTGTGCCAGAACTGTCAAATTCCTACTACTGTTTTGACCACAGCGATGTTTCCCGTCGTCTTTTTCGCGTCATATTTTTGGAGCGGAGTTGCCTACAAGTATAAATTTGGTATCACTGGAAAGACAATTCCTTTCTCTTTATTCTCTTATGCATATCTATAAAAGTTATAAATGGGGATCACTCCTCAATATGCCATGGCAGGTCATAAATATACATGAATGTGCATGTACATACATGTACATGTAGTTGATCATTAATAAAGGTGGACTGCAAACGCCGCAGTATTGTGTGAGGATTGCTTTTCTTTATAATATCCTAAGTGGCACAGGATCCAGCAGCTGTAAAAAACTAAAACTAATTTTTTTTTTCACAAACAGTTGCTAGTTATTGTTTTAATATAGGACTTTACTTACCTCTTTGATGTACTGTGCATTTCTCTCCAAGGATGGCGAAAATTTTTCAATATTCTCTGTGAGTCTCTGTGGAACAGGCCAATTAAAGTAATCTTTTTGAAATCTTGATTAGTATTAATCAATATGACAATATGATAATATTTAAAAGAAAATGACAACATTTTTCTTACATTGGCAATGTTTTTTCATAACCAGAGTATTCAGGTGAAACTCTTTTGAGTGCTGATTTCCATCAACTGAGCAGACCTAACCTCATTTTACTGCAATTTGTACCGAAGGTATCAAAATCTTGGGCTGAATCTCATGAAGGTTCCTGAACAGTGCACACATGCCCTGACTCCAGCACAGCTGGCTGTGTGTGTTGATATGTCTGTGTGGTTTCATACAGGACATTGATTTCGCTGTTGTATTAAAAAACCCTTGATTAAACATTCAAGCTTTGATTGGAATGTACGTTACAGTTGAAATTGAGAACAGAAAAAAGCCGCTGAAGGTGCTGATATTTTTCCCTTTTTTGAAAAACTTTCTAAGGTTGATATATATACATGTACATAGAAAACAAATTGAGATTTCAGATTTGCCAGAAAAAAGTCCTTAACAATACCTTTACAAACCAAACAAAGGAGAGAAAAATTTCACTTTGATATATCGTGAACAGTTTTCTTGTTATAGCCTCTGCAAGTTTGGGTGCTTTGCTAATTTTTGGCTTTCATGAATTACTTGTTTATGGAAAGCTGGAAATTGGTGTGAAGGTTAACCACTACCTGCTGGGCGACCCGTTTTCGGGTACGTAGGCTTTATATGCAGAGCTGGGGAGCCTGGAACTGGGACAAAAGAGTTGGGCCCAAAAGACCATCCTCAACACAAAAGACCGAGCTGCTGGGCATTACCGACATTTTTTCGCTCTCAATAGTAGAGATAATCCAGCCTTGTTTTGAAACAGTATACCACGGTTTGAGGCACTTAGAGTGAGCACATTACCACCGGGGGAAAAAAGCGCTCCACCACCGCAGTGATGAGCCACACAGCACTGCTGCACGCTAATCTGGCCCCTACTGAAAAGAGGTGAGCAGTGCACTGTGCCGGTTTCGGGAACAAAAGAATCTTACATAACACCGCACAATCTGGGCTCTTTTTCCTGGGCTGCAGACCTGGCTGAAATATTCAGGAGTCAATGAATTTTACCTGTCAGCTTTAGAGTAGTGTCCAATGAGTCCTTCATTTTGGTATAAACAGGACTCGTATTCTGATGGTTTCTCAATAGAAGTACGAACACAGCAACAAGACAAAACATATTTCAACGACACCCAATTCAGACCAATATTTGATGCCTTTGGACACGTGTTGCGAAAATTTGTCACATTGTAAACAAAAAAAATGTGATAGTCCAGGTCCTTAAAATTGGATTGATTTTTTGTAAAACACATTTTCACACCTCTGTACTGTAATTTTCTAAGGGGATATACAAGAACCTTGTATGATAGGATTACTTCGCAATGAATACTGTACAAATATGAATAAACAATCAGGAAGTTAAAAGATCGAAATTTTGCATTATTCGGAATAGAATGACTAAATGGAATTTCCAAAATTCATATACATGTACTTAATAACATAAACATACAAATACCATCCCAGTGTCACATAAATCCTAATCCCCATGGTGTGTGAAATTATATTAATATTGGAGGACTGAGGGCTGTTAGATTTAGGCATCAGCTTTATACTATATGTTCTACATGCACTAAGTATCAGCCTCATTGGAGATTTAGTCACCTACATGTAGATAAAACTGAATGTGGAATAAAATATTCACTAAATGTTTAAATCAATCTTGGCTTTCATAGGGATTTAAAATTTATGATACCTTCATCTGTTTCTTACATTTTTTAGTCCTGTGTGAAGGTACTTGACATCCTGAGAGATGAAGCAGCTCAACTGCATAAACTGCTCGGTAGACTTTGATTCCTCTTCCTCTGGAGCTTCCACACATTTCAGACTAATATCAACAAGGGAATAAAATTGCACAGTATTGCAAATTGGAAATGGAATTATGAATGTGTGATTCTTAGGTGATTGGGCAAAGCCAAATTACATATACATGTACCTACTTTTTTAAAAGCTGAATGACTTCTTTTGCTTTTGGCTTTGTTTTTTTTTCTCTCTCCAAGAATGCTTCCAATAAACTTCCTGTACACAGAGTTAACTTCATCCCATACACAGAAGACTCGCAATATCTAGTCTTCATGTCTGGCATTAACAAGCATTCTACCGTCAGCATGTTCAGGCCAATGCTGGACAGTGTCTCCAAGATAAACATAGAGTCATGATTGATCAGCATGTTCTTAATGTCTCAGGAAGCCATTAATATCCCAGGAATCTTGTCATTCAATATTGAAGGATTTACCCCAGCAAAGAGAAATGTACTAAATCACACAGCCACTCACAACGTGCTTGTAATAATACTCTAAGAAACTTCTTTATGAAAGCAGGGCTAAAATTCCAGGTTTCTATTACTATGCTTTCACAAGTCACGCAAGGAGGTAAAACCAAGGTATTGCAACCTACACAAACTTCTACAAAAAAAATTGTACTGTGACAAACCACATCTGATGAGGATGCTGATCTCCAGTGGCACCTGTTTACGGTGCAAGGCCTCCATATCATCAATGTTTACAAGCCAACACCAACTCGGCTTGTTGAAAGTGATGCAACCTACACATTGCTTCCTGTGCTCTACTCAGTGGATTTCAACTGCCAGCACAATGACCGGGCTACATTTCCTCCATGGGCATGAGCTGTGTCATTTGTGAGTATCAGAACTTTATCTTGCCTTTCTTTTTCACAAAAATTCAGCCAGCAACATTCCTTTCAAACTGCTTGGATTCTACAACTAATCCAATCTAGCCTGGCGGCACAGCGATTTTGATAACAACTAAAGACTTACTCGTTCCTGATTACTTCCTAAATAGCCATCGACTAATCCATTTACTCCTTTCCCACTACAAAATCTCAGGGTTATCTCAAGGGTAATGGCAAACCTTAACCCTAAGATACCTTGAGGTAGCGCAAGCATTCCATTACTCTTTTTCTGCTCATATTAAGAGAAAACATTTGGCCGTTACACTGGGCTTCATTAAGCCTACCAGTGACCAGGGTTGAGGAACGCAATCTCGGAGTTCACAGCCAAATCCCAGGTTAGCACTGAAGTGGGAAACCAAGCAGGGTTAAGTGTTCCACAAGCAATCTCGGGGTTAAGGCACAATGAGGCATTGTGTACTTTGTGGTCAAAGGTTAAAGTTATGGCGCAAAATGTTGTTGCAACATTTGCGTACATACGGGGATGTAGGCCTATCATTATTTAATAATCATTACACATACATGTACATGTACGTACCCGCATTTTGGCTGTGTCATTGTAAGATCAAACGAGGTACAAAAGAGCTAAAATTGAAGTGCTTTGAACACTCAACTCCAACAATCAGGAATTTAGTTTGGAAATAAAGAGCACTAAAGCTGCAACAACAGTTAGTATTGGAAAACTGCAATGTGCAGTGCCAGAGCCGGTACACAACATGTTGACAATTGTCCACGCTACTTTGTTGAACACTTTTGTAGATTATTTTGACAGTGCATGCATAGTTAATTTCACGCGCACAAAAGGCCAAGCACTGTGGGACTAGCTTACGAGCTCAATTTCTGGTCCAAAATGTTGGGCCCTGTGAGTGTTGGCTAGAACTGGGAAATGGCACCGCATCAACTCAAGGCAAGTTTAACCCAGGGTTTACCAAAACTCCAGGTTAATGAAAGTAAAAGGAATGAAACCCAGGGTTAACGAACCCTGGTTATGAAAAGCTTAACCTGGGGCAGCAAATCTCTGGGTTAAACAGTTTGTAGTGGGAAAAGGGTATGACATGTTGACCACCTATTAAAAGCCCTCTGGTATGTAAAAATTCATTAACAGTGACCTGGTAAAGAAAATTCCTCCTCAGCTTGTCCTGAACAAATGCACAGATTCTTCTAAAGAAATTCTGGATTACGGGAGACACTCAAAGTCCACTAAGTGTCTCAGACCAGATTTGAGATGACTCCTAAGCAGTTTTGTAGTATTCGTATTCGAGTACTACTCGAGTACCGTTTTCAGAGTACTCGTACTCGTACTTGTACTCAGACATCCAAGTACTTGTACTCGAACTACAGTTCTTGTACTCGGGCTACAAAATACTCGGAACTCGACATCCAAAAACTGTACTCGAGTATCAAAGTACTCGTACTCGATTAACAGTACTCGATAAAAGAATCCTTTAAGTTAACTTACCACGGCCGTTGAAATAAGGTACAAAAATATCGACCCCAATGACCCGATATTCGATATGGTTCTGACAAAGAGAAGGCCGAACGTGGGACCATTAACTCATACGACCCATTCGCCGTCTGTGCGCGTACTTAACCAATCACGTACGCAAATTACATTGAGGTACTCCAGAATGGTCCTGCAATTTACTTAGGCTTTGGTAGTCTGGTTCCTGGACCCAAAAATTCTGACGAACCCAGCATACAGAAAATCACAGGAATGTGAATAATTGAGTCTGGAAAATAGACTTTGCCACGCCTTACATGTTGCGTCAACTTCTGCAACGCACGTGTAGTGACCGTGACATTGCTAGCCAGATTACTTGTTCTTGTAGCCAAGTCATCTGCATTCGGTGTTTCTTTTACACTGAGCTGAGTACGTGAAACAGATTTATTCTGAAATGTATGGTCTTCGCGTGTGTGCCAAAGTCAATGTAACTTTACTTGTTGATTTGGTGAGAAAGTTGTCTTGAAAACAAATTTTGTTGGGAGAAGAAAAAACTTCACAGAAATCAGGCAGGCATGAAACTTTGGTTAGATGGCGATGTGAACCTAATAATTTTACATGACTTTGATAGATCTATCATTTTTGTGAAGTGAGGCCCTAGATTATACCTGCAATCAAACCTTCCACCCAAGTACTGGTCAATGAATCCTTTCTGTGATGCTGAGGCACCTTCTGCTTGTTGATTCTCTCCAGCAACACTCACAGTCAACTGCTGTTGTAACAACCGTACCAACTGCACCCAACATTCATTTGCATCCTACATGTGCATGTAGCAAAGACAACAAAAAATTTTATGATAGGGTTGGGCACACTGTACAGGTGGAAAATAGCTCCTGGTTAATAATGTCAAGAGGATTTAACACAAATAAACAAAACGAGACGTGTTTGTGGACAAACATAGAGCTGTTTCAGAGTTTTTCATTTTTTCAGCTTTATCATTTTGTAAGGGAAAGTTTCTGCTGCTTTGTCTGAAATTCTCAGAGTAATCCTCAGGCAAACCACAGATAAGATCGATAAAAGTGCAAAGTGAATGAAATTCTCAGAGTAATCCTCAGGCAAACCACTGATAAGATCGATAAAAGTGCAAAGTGAATGAAATTCTCACAGTAATCCTCAGGCAAACCATTGATAAGATCGATAAAAGTGCAAAGTGAAAAAGACAAAGTCTTTCTCCGTAGGTTTTGTATACGACTTGCACGTGCACAAAACCTATGTAGAAAAACTGCAGCTTTAAAGTCATGTTACGTGATTTGCGTTCATATTGAAAAAAATTCTGAAATATTATTTGATATTTGGACTCGTGTATATTTGTTATAAAATGAAGATGAAAAAAAAGGTATGATTTCTCTTTCGTTCCCATAGTAATCCTCAGCCGAAGCTCAGGACTACTCTAGTCAGTAATATTGCGTAGTAGAAAAACATGTACAAAACCTATGGAAAAAATTTAAGATTCAAAATTCAGAAATAAATTATGTGGCGGCATCATGACGTCATTATTTTAATGTCTTCTTAGCCTTAGGGTAGTTCCTTATTGTAACTTTGATGACAATCTAAGATTGTTAAGTCTATGGGAAAAAATTAAATATTCCAAAAAACAACAATAAACGAGAGAAGGCCGTGGTTGTGGACAACCACGCAGCTGCTTCGGTTTAAAATGGTTTTCAAAAGCTCATTGAATAAAATTATTACATAATGGCCAAAAATGGAAATAAAGCAATGGAAAGTTTACAATCCATGTAATCTCGATACATGTCACATGACTTATCATATAATGAGACGACCATCAGATGAAATCAAGTTCCATCTCGAAACCTCCTTTCTAGCAAAGTTCAACCCGATGGGACATGTACATGTTCTTCATGAAATATTGGGCTTTACAAAATGCACCTTTAAAGTCGTGTGACTTGTCACCCGATCATCACATCAGGTCAACTTGGGTCTAAAACCCTTCCCCTTCGAGCTACACACAAAGATTCCGCCCTATCGAACATGTACTTCTCAAGATACAGCAGTTTACACAGTGCCCCCAATAATGTCAAGTGACTTGTTAAGCGATGACATCACAGCAAGCCTTTTGCAAATTAACTTTGACCCAAATCTGGTACACTGACTTCTTTAAATTCACGTGAACATAACAATTTGATTTCTCCTTACTAAAACCACTGTTGCTATACCTTGTGATTCAGGGCAAGCTTTTGCTTAGTGACATAAGAGACGCCTTGCAACAATACACTGTTCTTAATGGATAAGGGCACAAAGGAACCAGTCCATTCCAGAGATGGTGGTCGCAATGTAAAAGCTTGCCCCGAATCACGAGGTATGGGAACAGTGTCTTTAGTCTGAGGAATTCAAATTGTTATGTTTATGTGCAGTCAGGTAACTCAGTGCACCAGATTTTATTCAACTTTAACTCGCATCAGGCCAATTTGGGTCAAAACCTTTTGCCTTTGAGCTATACACAAAGTTTCAACCAAATTGAAGATGTACTTCACAAGATATAGCACTTTAAAGAGTGTTCCTTTGATGTCACATGACTTGGCACCAGATGACGTCATCATCACATCAGGTCAGTCGTGGTCTAAAACCCTTCCCCTTCAAGCTATATACAAAGTTTCAATTCAATCGGACATGTAGTTCACGAGACATAGCACTATAAAGCGTGCCCCTTTAACCAAAATCTCGTAACATCTGAGCTCATATTGCTCGTACTGAATGTGCACAATTCAGTCGGGACTGGCAAATATGCTCGTCTAAACCGGAGTCTCGTCTTACGCGAGCTTGTATTACCAAGAGCCAACTGCAGTTGTGTTCTTTGGTGATGCCAGTGTCTTCAATTTACATTACAAAAGCCTTTCATTTCCTACGAGTACACTTGCAGTGGCAACATTAGGAAAAGATAGCAACATTACTACAAAACTCAGTTGGTTTGAAGAATACATACATGCAAACAGTAATACAAGTGATGACATAATGACATCATGATGTGCATTTTTACAATGTATTTCTGGTATTAAATGACCCCACAGATTCCTATAAAGTGCCACAGGCAAGCAAACCTGATGAAACCTGTAGAGAACAGACAATGAGGAGTATACGTAGTTACACTTTTAGTTACACCTGAGAGGAATATTCTGGGTAAAACCCACAGAATCAGGTAGGGAGTGAAAACCCAATCTTCATGTGGACTGAGCCAGGAATCAAACCTTTGCTGCAGAGGTAGAAGGCAAGGAAAGCACCACTATGCCCACGTGACTCCCCCATTCACAATGAAGTACGATTTTTTGGGCCATGTCCGCAACAGTTGTCTAGAGCTAGGTCTACGGCTATTGTCTACGGCGGCCATTTTGAAGTGCTGTCTAAAATGGTGTCCAGAGCTAGAGCTACGGCTATGACGTCATCAAAATCTAGACTGACTTTTATTGAGATGATATGTGTTGAGAAAAGTGGAGTCAGGATGTAACTTGTTTTCCAAGTATGACAATGAGATGGGTCTGAAAAACTCTTTTCAGTGATTTCTCATTAATTTGATTAAACGACTTGGTTTTTTCCATCCTAAATTGAACTTTGTGACATCACGTTAGAGGGCATTTCTTACTTCTTCCAGTTTGTCTGGGAAAGACTTGAGTAAACCTTTTGTGCATTTATTGTCCTTAGGCCTACTTTTAATTGAACAATTTGTGCACTTAACAGTCAAACCACTACTACCTACTACTAGTGCTGAGAACATAGTCATCATGATGAACACAGAAAACCCAACTTTTCCATCCTCCATCATGGCTGTACTCCCCTGTGTTAGATTTTGAGTAGTGAGGGTATTAACATTACTATTAACGTACATGTACTCCCAATAGATGCAATAGGTTGGAAGAACATAATGTGAAGGGTTTGATGCTTATCAAATGATTAAGTCTAATGATTGTGTCTCTTTCCTAATACATTTTCTTCACTAGGGACTGAAGACGAGTGTTGCACATTTATAAACCTTCGGAATAAACATGAAGATAAATTCAAAAAAAGCAACAAGGTGCCACCCATGATGCTTTTATGTATGTTAGCAAGAAGGATTCAAGGACTTTTATGTACACATGAAAATCTGCATTGAATCTCTTAGTTTGCTTGAGTATTAGGGTCTTTAATTTTTGTTTCACCCTACGATTTCCCAGAAACAATCATTTTGAAATTTGGGAGTGTTGACATTTAGTGTGATAATACCTCTGATATAGGTTTTCCTCCACGATGACAATCTTGCTAGTAGGCACTGTGAGAGAAGTAATTGCATGTAGCAAGCTAACATCTATGCAGTTCTGGAAAGCATCTAGATCTGTGAGGATTTTCATTTGTATTTAGTGTTTCCTGATGAAATTTCTGAAGGGAGTCAAAGAAATTTACTTGATAATCAACTTTTCATCATTGACACATACATTTCTCAATTATTGTACAGAGTAATACTGAAAAAATGGACCTGCTGGTGAAAGTGTCCCCAGAACGGGCAAGAAGTGGACAAATTTGACCCAGAAGTATAAAGTAAAGTATCTTTGGAAGTTTCTTTGCTGGTAGAAAGCAGGACACTCAGATTGTACTGACCATGCATGGTTGGTTACCGGTGAAAGTAGTAGGGATAATGTGGAGCACGATGTACCATTTTACAGAATTGTTTTCAAAGGTACTGCTGTTCAATTACAACAAAAAGTCAATACATATGTAGCCTGCTGCAAAATGGTATAGCGCCATCTTGTGATGAACGAGACAGGGCGCCTGTTCCCTGACTCGCTTGGTCAGTAGGAACCACAAGCCAGGCTGTGCAGTTCCATCGGTTAAAACATTTTCTCCTTGGTTTAAACATGGTGAATGTTGTTGGTGATTTGATGTTATAGCATAATCACTGAGCACACAGGGGTCCAACGGCTTACAAAAGTAGTCACATGGGGCAGCTATTTCAAAATGATTAACCTTGCTTGAAGTTTTAATGGTAAGCATATTTGGCCTTGTGTATGTGGAGACTACACAAGAGCATTTGTTCTACAAAGATACTGAAATTAAGGATGAAGTAAATCAATTGACTGAATAAACATTGCTTTATAAACAAAGAACACTCCCATAACAGCATAATGTCCAACGTGTACTGCCCTGTTAAACACTTTCTCAAGTTAATTTGAAAGCACAATGACACACCAGGAATAACCTTTCAGAAAAAGGGCAGTTGTGTTTAATACAAATCATTTTTGTGCGAAAACAAGCAGCGAATGTGGGGACAAACTACTCCGATCTTGTGAACCGACCTATTTATAGTTGTCATTTTCTTATTTCAATAAAGGAACTGAAGCATCCACCAACCGGCTCAGGCGTGGCAGATGGAGAAGAGACACCCGTATCACAGCAGTTTCTTGATGATATGGACAAGGGTTTGGGGTCAAAACCTATCATTGATCCACTATGCCTGGTTTCTTCACTGGAAGATATCCCAGAGAAGGCTAACCTGACACAACACAATGAATCCCCACCACCAAAGAAGAAAAAAGTGCCAATCTGAATCATGACTCTGAGATTCTTCAGATGCTTAAGGAGCAAAATCAGCTTCTACGTCAGCAAGAGAAAGAGATCCACGACCAAAACAAAATTTTGATTAATTTGATGGAGCGCCTTGTAACTACAGTTGAAATTAAGTCAAATGAAAAGTAGATACATGTAGTTCAGTTTTGTTATTTGTAACGGTAGGTGTTTATTTTGTTCTGAAATTTACTGTTTTTGTTTTAATGTCGATAGCACATGCTGGTGGCCAATGAAGTAAAAACAAGTTTTAACTTTACATGTCATTTTGAAGCAGACAACATGGCAAAGCTCCTTCTTCATGAAAGAGTGAAAAACACAATATTTTTAACAGAACCTTCAGCATGGAATAAGTAATTACCTAAGGAAAATTTACAATGACATTGTGCAAAGGAAGTCTCTCTTCTGTAAGTGTGGTGATTCTGTAAAAAACCTGTGTGCTTTGCTCATCTTCTGGTGAAGGCTGATAAGCATTCTCCAGAAGACAAGCAGAGAACGCTGCATGAAACGACAAGTGACCACTGGCTCTTTTACAGAACCACCGCACTTACAAAAGAGAGAATTTCTTTGCAAGGTGTCATGGTAAACTTCTAAAACTATGCATAGCATCAAGTTTTACCTATATGTACTATATAGTTTACAGGGCCCCCTATACAAGTGAGACATGGGTTTGAAAGTTTGAGGAAAATCCTTTGGAAAGCTAAAATGTAATCATGCTCATTAACCCCTTCGCTATGGATGACTGCTACTACCGCACCTTTGTGTGAGCATTAGTGCATACCACACACACAGTCTATTCACCATGAAGCTGCTGGTTCAATGGGGCCTGCTGCTGGACAAAGCCCTCCATTCAGGGCATGCCACAGCCCAGCATTACGCAATGTACTAATTTTAGGCACTGCAAAAAAAATTGGAAATGCCAAAGCAAAACAAGCACATATATACATTCCAAATCTATCAAATCCTCAAAGAACGAAGTCAACTTATCAAATAATGGAAAGTTTTATACCCTGTAAACTGTATACATGTAGCTACCTTTAGAATGGAAAGATTTAGATATCCTCAAGAATGCTAAAAAAAAAGCTAGGTTCCAAATTGTGAAGTTGCTAGAAAATGCAAGTGTTAATATCTAAAAATGATTTGTAATATAGTTTCATAAATTAAATAAACAAATTCTCAATACCTCACATGTTTTTGTGAAAATACTCCTCCATCTTGTCAAATATCTAAATATGTCCTGTTGTTTGCAAAGCATGTGCAAAAATGTTTAAGGGAAAGTATAGCTAGACTTAAATTCAAATATCTAAATATGTCCTGATTGCAAAGCAGGATTCATTGGGAGTACTACAGTTTTAAGTTTAACATACAGCTCATCAGAAGTTCTCCCTTCATTCTCATACTAAATTAGTATACTTGTATATTGCCATCTGTCCAGTCATAAGAAAAGACTGTGAAATGTTGATGTGCATCAAGAATGCATCTTTCAATATTTAGTGATATATATATATATAAACCACCAAAAATGAAGATGCACAGCTAGGCATTACATATATAACTGCCATACATATTCCAGTCATTTGATTGATGGAATACGGAGTGACATTCATTATTCTTGCCATTCATGCCATGTCGGGTACAATTCACCCATGTGCGAATGGCCAAAACCAAGGGTTAGGATGATCCCTGTGTCCACAACAAATATGTACATGTAATTATGATTGAAAGGCAGCATGAGTGCAGCACACAGTGCTGATGAAGCCCAGGGAGAATAAACTTTGGTTGAAAAGTTATTGGGATTTGAAATCACTTGGCATTTAATAAAAGATAAATCAAATGACAAGGATCCCTTCAGTTGGGGCCTACTAAACAAATAATGAATGTTTTTCACTTGTGCAATGGTTAGAATATTTTCATTCGTTGATGGATGAATTGTTCGTCTCGTCGAATGGAACATTCCATCACTCAATTCATGAAAATATTCTTTGTAAACCTTCATTATTTGTCATCAGTGTTTTGCAGTTTATGTGCAGAATCAAGTGATAAATTACATGTACGTAGTACATGCAAGTCTGTTTCCTTGCTCTAGTCTTAGTTGTGAAGACTGTAGTATCAGCCCTGATATTAAATAAATTTTTGTTAACCTTGGTCTTTGCTACTGGGGTGACTGGCATGATGAAGCTTTAGGCCCGCTTTAAATTTTGAAATTCATGTAGTTACATGTAGGCCTACTACGTTGCCCCGACGTCCATGAACATCGTGAAAGTTTGAGACCCGAATGTTGAGCTAATTTTCTATTATTCATTATGATAATGCACTGAATTGCTGCTAAAAAAAAATAACAATATCTATCATATCATCATCCATCCTGAATATTGATTGCTGGCCAGTGGTAAACAAACATTGCACAACGAGCAGACAATAATTCTGTTACTTCATACAAATAAACTCTAATAACACTTGAGGGCGCAATACATAGCCGTAGCTGCATCCGAATTCAATATGGCTAAGCGCTTCCTGAAACACAGTTGCAGCTGTAGACCTACACCATATCGTTAGGCAACCGTTTTGGACACGGCCTTTGTCTTTGTCCACAAAAACAGATTAGCGACAGAGACACGACATGTATCCTGTAGTCCAGTGGGTATGAGCTATTAAGTGGTACTGAGGTTGTAAGCAGTACCGGAGGACTTGAAACTGTCATATGTCTTGGGGTTTTTTGTGTCCTCCCTTATGAACATGCACATGCAAATACATGTATATGGCTACACGTACCGGTAAGCTGCAAAGTGGAGGAAAGTCATCGTTTCAAAATTAAATTCACCTGTTGTTGGAAGACACCATGTTCATTCTTTTCTGCAAACTGTGGGAAGGCAATGTGAAGAAGATGTAATAGAAATATTGGTGGAATTCCATCAGTGGCCTTTTCCATGGCATCAAATAGATCCCTCATGGCAGCTGTAATTGACTCTGCTGGCTGAACACTTGCCATAGCTTGATTAACATGACCATCATACCTATGAAAACAGAGAATTAAGTCAACCTACTAGTGTGTGTGTATAAATGTTCTGGTAAACACATTTAACATGTTACATGTACATGTATTAACAAGTACATGTAACAGTTACCAGTGCATCCCATCAATAATACACGTTAATTCTCATGAAGTGCCTTGAAAATGATTTGAACAATTTTCAGAAGCTCTCTGAATGCTGTAAAACTTGGTATAAATTCTGACTGTATCATTATCACATACCAATTCTGATACATGCAAATACCTGTACAAGGAAAGAGCACTGAAGGGTGCACATGTAGCTTACTTTGGGACGACTTTTGAGACAAAAACATCTTTAAAGCTTTAGGATTTTGCCCTGCAATTTTTAACTTGATCTTTCTATATCGGAGAAGGATAATTATCACATCAATCTTAATTCTTTACTGTTCTAACTTTTATCTTTTGAGCACTGCAACAAAAAGTCCCAGAACAAGGAATTTTACTTTGGGGGCTATTGACGGTTATTATTCTCATTTCAATTTAATTCAGTACCATGTAATTTGAGGACAAGTTTATTTGGCAATATGGTTCCCACTTCCCCAACATTAGCTCCATTAACCACTTCCGGCCGGGGGACCGTTTTTTCTAGCACCTACATGTAGGCCTCACTTAACTGGACAAAAGAGCTGGGCCTTGTAATAAAAGGCCATACTCAGCACAAAAGTGCTGAGCTGCTGGAATTGCCAACATTTTTTCGGTTGTCAATATCGAAGGAAATCCGTCCTTGTTTTGAAAGATTATACCACTATTTGTGGCATTCAGCGCAAGCGGATAACCACTGGGGGCAAAAGCTCTCCAGCAATGAGCGATACAATACTGCTGCATGCTAATCTGGCCCCTATTGCAAAGACGCCAGCAGTGCACTGTGCTGGTTTCGGGAACAAAAGAAACTGACATAACACCGCATAATCTGGACTCTTTTTACAAGGCTGCAGGCCTGGCTGAAATAGATTTCGTCTGTCAGATTAGAGTAGCCACCAGACAGCCATTTGTGTGGATGTAAACATCCATTAAATGAAATGATGAATTTTTGAAAATTTTGAAAACTAAAAATCTTGAAAATTGCCCGTACATGTATGTGTGCACTGCATTTTTCAAACCACCCGGCAGCAAGTGGTTAACAACCAAGCAGCTAAAATTTCAAATATTTGATACAGATTACAGCTATGCATATAATTAATGCTGAATATCTTCCTAAAAAAAGAATAAATGTGCCGACGTGTAGTCTCAAGGGCATTTACCATGTACATTACGTAGTTCACATGGAACAAAGACACTGGTGTCTCTGAATACATGAGATCTACTCATATTCAAAGTCACAACTCACAAATCAAGGTCTTCTCCTTTTTCCACTTGTCTTGATCAGGCACACATTTACATGTACCCACTGTCAAGCAAGTGAAGTTTAGATCCTTTGATGCTAGAGTTTATTGGGTTTGTTTTGAATTGCGTTACATATTTTTGGGTGTTGATGTTGGTTGATTTCCTTTTTAGGAAGGGTAAATGAATATTTGAGGCATGCCACACATTAACTGAAATCACAAAACAATTTCCTGTCATGAACACAAAAAAAGTAGGAAAAACAAAGTCAAATTGATGTTGGTTTATCAGATATGTGTACAGGTAGGTCAAATTCATTCGACTAAGTTACCCAATAGTTACCTCTACCAAAAAGGGGGTGGATGAGTGAGAAGAACTACTCACAGTCAGGACATGTTTCAATTGGGTATAAAAATATGGTCTCCAACAACATTCCTTTAAAAAAAATGGGGGGCTTACATACATATTTAAACATGACACAGTCGGTTTCAAAAAGGACATTACAAAATTATAACTTATTTTATGCATAATTTGACAACAGACTATTCTCCCTCAAATAATGGTAAAGGCCTAAAGCAGCTGGTTGTTTGTAAAAATTGGAATTTATTCAACATATCAGTATATTAGGTCTTTTTGTTCTCACTCACACTTGGAGAATGTTTAAATTAAGTATGAAAATACCTACATGTATGCAAAAATGAATCTATAATCATCCATCTCTTAATTAAAGTAAACTGAAATGCAGACCATTTACAACATGAAGGGTTTGGGAAGGACTGGTTTTGTTGTTAGTTTAAGAGAACACACATACGAAATTAAGTTGAATTCCACATAAAGTGACATAATCCCCTAGTTCTTGAATGTTTCTTGAAAGAGGAGTTTTGACTTCGAAAAAATCCCTTTGTTACCTGAGTGATGACACAGTTTTACTTTCATGTGATCTCTTCCACACATTTCTGCTTGTAGGAGAGCTTGTCTTTTCCATTTCCAATCTGATGTCATTTTGCTATTCCATCATAAACAATAAGATGTAATGACAAACACAACTAAAACATGTTTTAAATGCTCTTAGAGAAACAAAGACTTTTTTACCACCAAACGTTACCTTTTAATCAACTTTTTTATGTAGAAATAAGATTAGAATCATCACTTACAGAATGATATTTCACATGGAGTTCGAGTAAATCTCACTTGTCCTGGGTAAAAATAGTTCAAATAATTTCACCACTCTGAAATCCTCAACTGCATCCACATTGAGAGACAAACCCACATGTATGTGTATTTTCAATTACTTAAATTACAAACTTACTTTTTCAAGGACTCTCTCAGTTCTGGAATGCTACGCAGACACTGCACGGTGGAGTTCAAGTAGCAGGTGTTACCCAAGTTCTTCAAACCAGCTGACAACTCAAACTGTACTTATCAAGAAACACCATGTGTGATCATTCAAATTAACTTCACTCCTTTCTGGAAGTTATAGCAATTAACTTGTGTGCATAACTGTTCAGTGTAGCTTTAAAAATTAAAAAAGTCCCACCCCATTCTGAATACACATCTACTAGGGTAGAGGTGTTTCAGAGGAAAAATCCAAATTGTTCAGTGGAACACCTGCAACACAGAGTAGCCCTTGGGCACCTTCAGCATAAGACCTATGCCAATAAGTACTCTGTACTGGTAAGGCTGGACGTTCAAATATTAACTAGAAATCCTTCTTTATGCAAAACAACAAAAGAATGTAAGGACCCCAGAAACAAACAGTACATGTGCTGGTAAATGTATGAAATGTTTTCAAGCTGCAGTTTCATGTCAATTATTTCCTGCTACCTCCCGAAGAAATATTAATTTGGGGACACAATCTTGTACATGCACATGTATTAGCAACCTGTTAAAAGTTTCATCATGTCCTTTCTCTTGCTTCAAAACTGCACAAACAAATTTATCAACTCATCTCTAGTATACTCCTCTATACTTGTACCTTTACCACAAACACTTTGAAACATACCGCAGTTGCTAGTTGCTCATCTGTCATATCTTCCACAAAAAGTGTCTTTTGTGTTGGGGCTTCAGGGAGAGCTTCAGCCGATCCCATCACAAGAAAGGTGACACCCTCAATGAAGTAACAATAAATATTCCATATGACCATGTAAATAGTACAACCACAATGGTTACAAGTAAACATATAACTCTGGTTGACATGTAAAATGCTGATGATTTTGTATCCAATTTACTGAGATTCAAGTAAATGACTTTTACCTGCTTATCGCAGGTACACACTAATGTACATTCAAATTGGTTACACTTATTCTTTATGTACACGTACATGTACTTTCTTAGGTTTTTTCAAACATAGTTCTAATCCAATTTTGTGAAAAAAAAACACAAAAACCAGATGACAATAAAAGCACCATGAAATACTCTATAATAATGAAGCACACGTACAGTATGTTGGGTTTGTAGCTCTATGGTTATATGAATAGATACAGTGCCATGAATAACAGTAGCAGAAGATGAGATGCAACTCATCCACATGAATCAGAGTTTTGAGATATGAGCCACAATACCATAGGTTCCAATGGGTGGAAAATCTGTTTTTATCAAAAGCACGATAAGAAAACATTCATCTACTCGATTTAGAAGGGATTTTTTTGACTCTCCAATATTTTCTACATAAAAATCTGTAATACGGTACATACATTGTAAAATGAAAAGTCTGACCTACATGTACGAGTTGTTCAGTGTTGGTTTGAACTTCTTCAATCCTTAAAATGACCTGCTTGTTCATTTAGAGGGCTTGTTATGACTCATGAAATCTTAGAATGAAAATATATATTCCTTTTTACATGTAATTAGTGCTTGCAAAAAAACTTTGTTAAGACTTGTAAATTTCCTTTTGGAAAGCAAAGGTTTGCTTCATTAATGTTCCGACAACTGGAAAGTTTATACATGTAACTAAGATTGCATATATACATGTACATGTATGTTTACTAAGGGAATAGAGAAACAAATAGCATACGGTATCAGCTCAGTGGTGTATCCAGCTTTTGGTATTAGGGAGCAGGATTTGTTGCAGCCATGGGTTGGATTGGTTTATATGCAGTGTGCATACAAGTGATACTGGTGTGAAAAGACCAAAAGGTGCCAGGCAAAGCCGGCCAAACTACATGTATGATAGGTTGAATGAGCACATACATGTAAGTGGGAGTTGTGACTGATTCTTTCTGTTTATTCATCTGCAATCTAAAATGTTGTTAAATGGAATCAACACAAACTTTACTCAGATGTTTTCTAACAGTTTTTTGGTAAGTCAGCAAAGGGAAAGGGTGTTTGCCTTTCTAAAATATTGTGTTGACATTTGCAGGGCCAGTTTGGGGTAATAAAATTGACAAAATGGAACCGAATATCGGCAATCAGTGGTCATGTTGTGGGTGCCTGGGCACTCGGCAAAGCCCTGGCCATATACATGTACTATCATTATGAAAAGTACCTACATCTTTAACTTTAAACCCAGTCCATGATTCCTTGAGAGTTGCTCCTTTCAGCATGACCTTTTGTCGCTCAGGCTGTACTCCTGTTAGAGCAAAGATCTGCGCCTTAAACACATCTGGAGATTCATCTACACAGCATTCAATATCACTGAACTTTTCCTTGCCCCATTTGATATTCACTGTTGAAATAAAACAAATAAAGAGTTACACTGTACATGTAATTGCAAAGTTATGATTCTTTCTATTTAAGGGGTCCAACGGGAAACACACAATAATAAACTCTGAAGGGGTTGTTTAATAAACTGCAAGGCAACACATTTGTTTTCATAATGAGAGTATAAAACACTACTACAAAATTAGGATAAAGCTAAACATTTGCTTTTTCTTACTTTGCTTTTGAAGACAATAACGTGTGGCCATAAACCCATCATTTTGAGAAAAAGTGGGACAAAAACCTCCATGTACTGTAGCATTTAATTGTGCTGGATTCTGGAATGTTTGATTTAACCTATTCACGGTGGCATTATTTAGCACTGAAGCCCCAACTGTGTGACGTTGGCATTTATGGAAGTCGGTAGGGGGTGATAGAGGTTTTGGTAAGTCTTTGGAATTGTTGAGAACTGTATTAATCTTACTAAATTGACGGGCATGGAGCGTTAGAATGATGATTCCGTCCAAAATTGTAAAAGACCAATACTGAGATATGGCGATTTGAATTTTCTGAAAATGGGCATTGTTCGTTCTTTTTCTTAATGGAGATCATGGTTAAAGTAGTGCCACATTTTGTGTGTTTACAGCAGTAAACAAAACGATAAACAAATTGAGTCACAGAAAACATCTCTGTTACTCATTTATTTTCAGCCGTTCTTTTTTGAATCAACAAAATTGTATGCACAGTGTATGTTGTACACATAAATCTATGTGTGGAATATTGTTTACAAATAGGGTTGCCATGGAAACACGGCTATTTACGTTTTTCCTCAATTGGTTGTAATGAGCCCCAATTTTACA